GCATCCACTGACTTTTCTATCCACAGGGGGGTCCTGGAACCAAACCTCAGTGGATACAAAGGACCCAGTGTAGTAATGCATGCCCAAATCTTCCTTTCCAACTCTTAAATGAAACATCCAGAGTTGCAGAAAACAAAATAACAATACAGATGTCTTTTGTAACAGGGATAATACATATCTACTCATCTGCTGGTTAAACACACAGTTCATTGCAACACTTCTGTTTCAAAAAACAAACAAAAAAAAACTTCTCCTTGAACTCTTTCCACTTTCTCAGTTCCCATCAAACCAAAACTCTGTTCAGACATTATCTGTTCCTCCTTTCCTAACTGGTCTTATCTACGTAACATTGCTAAATGACCCTATCTCTAGTTCGGATGTGCCCTAACTATCTGTCTGCATGGGCCAAATAATAATAATAATAATAATAATAATAATAATAATAATAATAATGATGATGATGATGATGATGATGCATTTTATTTATAGCCCACCTCTCATTGTGGATCGAGGCGGGTAACAACAAATAAAATAAAATAAAATAAAATGGCATTCCCCCATTCTCTCAGTGGGTAGACTGGACAATGCATAGCTCTCACCCCAGTTCTGGTGCAAAGAGACTGGGCAACGTCCAGCCTGTTCAGCACCAGAACCGGGATATACCCAGAATATCTTGGCCTTTCTCCCATAAACCCCAATACACAGCATTTCATGCATTGCATTTCTGCTTCTACCCAGGTTTGCCTAACTTCTTGCTTCACAGTCACATTTTGTTTGCAGCCCCAGGCAGCAAAATGTCTTAGGCTGATCTTGCCTGGAACACTCTTTATAGAATTGAAAAGCCCTGGTGGTGCAGTGGTTAAATGCCTGTCCTGCAGCCACTCACTCATAGACCACATGGTTGCGAGTTCAATACCAGCCAGGGCTGAGGCTCGACTCAGGCCTGCATCCTTCCGAGGTCGCTAAAATGAGCACCCAACTGTTGGAGGGCAATGAGCTTACAGTTGTAAACCGCTTAGACATCCCATAGCATGATATGAAGCAGTATATAAATAAGCTGCTTTGCTTTTTTTTTGCTACATGTATTTTAAAAGCAGGAAAGAAAAGAATCTACTGTCAGGATTGGAGGCAAGAAAGGTTGTTGCCTGGAAGGATGTATTCACATCTTTGGGGCAAAACATTTACGGAAACAGAATGCTGAAGAAAAGAGCCGTTTATCCTGGTGAAATTCATAGTTCATTCATGTTTCCATTATGTTGCCAAGATACCCTCCCCTCAGGCTGGCAATTTTGTCTCTGTAGTTCCTTTAGAGTTTCAGAGCATGCAAAGTCACCTTGCGTTTAGACAAGCTCTTTCCTTCCCAGACCAAGCAACACCAGCTGAAGAAACTGAGGTTGTACATGAGTCAACAGTGTGATGCAGCAGCTAAAAAAGCCAATGCGGTCCTAGGCTGCATCAATAGGAATGCAGTATCTCAGTCTTTGACTGCATAGACCATGAAAGGCTATGGAATGCCCTTAAAAACAT